AAATTATTTTTCAATGAGAGATAACAAAATTAGCTTCGTTTTATACATGTTTGGTGAAAATAAAGTAGTGTTTTAATATAGAGAGATAGAGAAAAAAGGCTTAATATCTTAATAAAAGGGTTTTCTTTAACATTCTATTGAATGATGCGCTAGTTGTAGCAGTTTTTAGGCTGTCACTCAGCTTGTTGACTAATCTTATTGTTTGTACATGAAATGACCTATTATAAATTGTTGTTCTATGTATAGGTATTTGTAGCAAATTGTCACTAAATCTAGTATGTCTCAAATGAACTTGTCTCATCAAAACATATTTTTCATATAAATAGTCTGGTCTTTTATCTTCTAAAATTTTATACATCAAGGACAAAACATTGTACTCTACCCTTTCCTTAATCTTAAGCCATCCTAATTCTTTATAATATCTTGTTACATGTTCATCAAGAGATAGATTAAAAATATACCTTAAACATGAATTTTGTGCTCTTTGTAACTTCATTGTCAATGTTTCGTTTACATCACAATATGCCGCTAAAGCATAATCAAACAACGGAAAAATTAGAGTGGATACAAGAAGTTTCTTTATTCGAAAATCAGGTCTAAAACATAATCTTTTTAATCTATATAATATCTGATAGACCTTTTTATGTACATAATCTACTTGTTCGGTCCATGACAATGTTTCAGTGAGTCGTAAACCTAAGTTAACTAACGACTCCTCATATTTTAAATCGACACCATTTAGATTCACAGATATAGTGTTATTAATATCTATGTTATTTAATAATCTTCGAGTACCTATTAGCATTGGTTTACATTTTTCAATATTTAAACTAAGTCCATGATCAATACACCATTTATGTAATGTTAACAAATCTGCATTTACCATCTGTATATTATTATTTAAATCGTTTACATCACAATGAACATACAATTGTAAGTCATCTGCATATAGCATCGATCTGCAAAACATGAATGAATCGCTTATCTTATTGATATATAAGGAAAACAACATGGCAGATAACGTTGAACCCTGAGGCACTCCTATCGGGTTTAATCTCCATTCTGATAAAGTTCCATTCACTGTTTTAACTCTTTGAAGTCTATTGCTAAGGTATGATTTAAACCAACCTACCACACTTGAGCTAATGTTGTAAGACCTTAAGATAGACAATAGAAGTGTATGACTAACACAGTCAAATGCACGACTAAAATCTAATAATATCAGGACTGTAATCTTTCTATCGTCCATAGCTTTTCTAATGTCATCAGTTATTTTAATTAAAGCAGTTTGAGTACTGTATGACGACCTATAACCGGATTGGTACTTATAAAACACATTATTGTCGTTTAAATATTTTCTTATTTGTAAATATACTAATTTATCTAATATTTTAGCGAATATACACAATATGTTAATGGATCTATAATTTTTACACTCTTTAGGGGACTTGATTTTTGGTAAAGGTAAAATTAAAGCTCGTTTCCATTGATTTGGGTACACACCATGTATAAGAGAATAGTTAAAAATATAACACAAAACATGTTTTATATCATCGAATATTAACTTAAGGAACTTAAGACTTATACCATCACAACCTATTGCAGTACTAGAAATGTCTGAGACTACCTTTTCAATTGTTTCAACATCAACTTGGCTAAATATAAAATTATCTCGCCCACCTTGGTTCTCGTAATAAGCTAATAAATCATCATTTATACTGTTATCTATGCCGCAAAAATAGTTATTGAGGCTATTAACATCAACTACTGGGTCAACCATACTCTTCGACTCTTTTCCTGCTCCTTGGCTTTTTAAAGTTTTCCACACCTGCTTAATAGGTTTATTTTCTTGTAGAAATTGAGCTATGTAATTATTTCTAGCATCTCTTAACATTCTCTTAACTCTATTCCGTAACACTCTATACTGCTCCCAGTTAAATTCATTTTTATTTTTTACATATCTTCTATACAATAAGTCACGTTCTTTCATTACTGATTTTAAGTCAGTGTTTATCCATGGACATGGGTTTTTTCTTTTTAAAACCTTTCTTTCAGGTACATATTTATCATATACACTAATAATATTATTTTCTAAGATTTCGACTTTCTCATCAAGTGAATCAGTTAAATACAAATTATCCCACTGCAACTCATTACATTGTGCTTTTAACTCTGCAAGGTTAATATTTTTAAAGCTACGTACAACTAAATATTCTTTATCCTTAAATAGCTTTGCTTTCAAATTAAATTCAACATAGATTAAATCGTGATACGATATCCCAGATACAGATAACTGACCATGACATTTAATTCTGTTCAAGTCATTTGTCAAAATCAAATCTAACCAGGAATCACTATCAGGTCTGTGATAAGTAGGATTCAGAGGAAGTATGTGCAAATTCAAACTATTTACTAAAGCAAGGAATTGATTTTTATCGTTTGATACACTATCTATATTAAGATTAAAGTTGAAATCTCCCAAAATTACAATATTATCATATATGGGAATTAAATCAGCTAATATTTCAAAAAACTCTGAGATAAATCCAGCTTTAGGTGGACGATAAACAGCACACAATATTATTTTCCAATAACTATAAGATACCTCTACAATAACAAATTCTGGTTTTTTACAAGAGAGAGACAGAGAGCGATGCAGTGGCCACGACGTTTAACAAACAGCAGCACGACTCTAATTACCTACCGCCAGCTCCCAGTATCCCATTCAGTAGAGAGGAGTTAGAGAGTGTAGGAGAGAGAGACAGAGAGAGATGCAGTGGCCACGACGTTTAACAAACAGCAGCACGACTCTAATTACGCACCGCCAGCTCCCAGTATCCCAGTCAGTAGAGAGGAGTTAGAGAGTGTATGCGAGAGAGAGACAGAGAGAGATGCAGTGGCCACGACGTTTAACAAACAGCAGCACGACTCTAATTACCCACCGCCAGCTCCCAGTATCCCAGTCAGTTTCACACCCTCCGATTTTTCCCCCTTGACGCCTTTAATTTCATTACACTACAAGTTTTGTCTTCTTGCCTGCAAGAGTCTTCTACCAACTGCCACCCCTTTACATTGAGCGACAATTTCTTCGAACCTCCTATCATTAATGTCTTCATAGGGGGCGTCCTTATACCAATTGATAATAAAAACGATAATCACATTATTTACTCACATCACATTGTTAGTACTGGTAGGTGTTACCAGTGTTACTTTGTAAGTCTAGGGATTGTTGTAACTAATTATTAATAAAGTGCTTTTGTTTAAAAAAAATATATCGTCTAATAAATAAAGGTATTCTCCAACCGGGTGAAACATTTTTATTTAATAGTTACAGTATTGGCCAGTGCAGTGTTTTATGCTAAAATGTGTAATTTCGTCCAATTTATCTTTGCAGATGTATATTATCTAATTCATCATTGTACCATAAACCTTGGAAAACTGCTGAGTAATTTGTGGGCACGAGATTAAATGCAAGCCTGTAAAATTTGTAATTTTTGTGTTATCTCATAGTTTAAACATAATTTAGTGGGCCTATTTGTAAAATATTTACAACAGCAGTCCTTATTAGGACAAATAGTGAGAATGAAATAACAAATGGGCTACTAATCAAAGAATAAAACAACTCAAAAGTAATACACTGTAGTGACACACCGGACTAGCGAGGTGCGCCTGCAGTGCCGAGGTATGCAACTCACGAGCAGTATCTAAATCACATACCCGGCGTGGCACGGCGCTCTACACCGCGCCGCCTCTCAACTATCCCCTTAAACAATGTAGAAGCGTTGACAGTCAATGATAGAAATCATAAACAAATAGAAATAATAATCATTAAAGAATAACAACGTACGCATTGTATTATCGAACAATGTAGTCGAAGTATATTAAGTTATTATGCATATAGGGAACCCTGTATTAGTTTGTATGTTTCCATCCTGAAGTAGACGCGTACCACATTAATTAGATTTTGAAGAAGAAGCTGCTATTATGTTAAACGACAACTTGTTCAGATATAGGAAACATGGTCCTAAAAATGTTTCCAATTTTTGAACAAGTTGTCGTTTAGGAAATAATGATCCAAGACCAAAAACACAAAAAAAAAAGGATCCGGTTGCTTATACTCTAACTTGGTGACTCTGGAACTTCGATTGACTCTAAGTAAGCTGATTAGTCTAAATTAATGTTTTGATGTTTTTATGTAGGCTATACGTTGAATTAATACTGTAGAAATTTTGAAGAGAATGATGTTTTGTGTTTTTAAAGACTTGATGATGGATCAAACAAACCCAAAATGTATATACAGTCAATATATTCAAAAACTATTGCAGGATTTAAGGTAAGTAACTTTAATTACTTTTATCTACGACCGTTTTTAAACTATCCGTTTCAGTTTAGTTTTTAGAATTAAATATGAAATTAACAGCATTGTTTACTTGCTTAAAATCATGAGTAACGGGCCAATGTAGTTCAAGGATTGAGAGAAAAGAAGTAAAATTGCAATGCATCGAACTACAACTAATCAGTGGTTAAGACCAATTTAATTGTTAATGAGTGTGTGCAATTAGTGTTTGGTACAATGAGTCATTGAATCACTGCCAGTAACCTCTCTTAGAAATAATGAGTAGTGGTTGTTAGTACTGTAATTAAAAACTGTCGTACGTAAAGTAGTGTACATAACTCTCGTAAATAGTCTTAACGACACTCGTAGAAGTTTTTAAGGCACTCGCCAAGGCTCATACCTTACATTACTACTCATGTAGTTAACTCTATCTTTACGAAATCGTTGCGTAAACTACTATACAGCATTTACAACACAGCATTGTGCTGTAGCGAGGTGCGCCTGCAGAGTTGAGGTATGCAACACACGAGCTGTCTCTATATCACATACCCAGCGTGGTGGGCGCTCCCAATGCGTGGTCCTGTATGTACGTACTGTAGTGCTACAGCTACATCTCAGCTAACAATATAAGGTAATAAGGTAATGCATTAATGATATAGCCTACCTGAAACCTTCTCATATCCCTTGGATTGCCAGCGTTCTTCAAACAGTTTTGATTGCATTTCAGGAAAAACTTGAGGAAAAACCTGGAACAAAGATTAAGAAGTCACTCATCATTATAATTTAAAATAATACTAACACTACATATTTAATTCTATAATAATTAAATTTGAGCTATGCATTTTTAACTTATAACATAGAAAGGTTTTTCTCACAATTGCAACAAATACGTTTTATGAGCTATACCAAGATATATTGTTTCAATGTGTACGTACCGAAAACCCAATATATACATTATATTTAAACACTGCGAGCTTAACATTTTTTTTGAATATTGTAATGGCTTTTACTTTTGGTAAAAATAGTCATTAAATAAAAACACTTTTTACCAATAGAGTACAACAGTAAAATATATAATTAGCAGCCCAGCTGAATTTAAAAGCCAAACCATTATTTACCATTATTTATAACCGTTATGTTATGCAGTGTGCATCAGCTGATGTAAGCATTGTGTCAGATGAAGGTGAATAGTTCGTAGCAATGTCCGCCAACAACACGCAGTGACGTTACCCACTTTATTTACATTGCAAGTCAAGAGTGATGCGTCCACTTCACCTGTGTCGACCGACCGAATAAAAAAATCATCAGCCAGAAAAAGCAGTGACTAAAATGACAACGGGAAAACAAATACGTATGACGCTACTTCCTTTCGACACGAGGTGAAAAAGCGAATGCGCATTTCTGTTTGTTCTGTTTGTTTTTTCGACGTGTTTATAATTGGAAAGTGTGACGATAAAAAATACCGAGTCGGGGTGGCTCGGTGAGGGGAAAGTTTCAAATTAATCTAGAATACGCGTGATGAAAAGCGCCATACAAATCAAATTGTTGATGGGCATGTCGCCATGATTGGGCTGTGTCAATGATTGCTCCGGCAGCCATTCGTCACTTCTCGCGCTCGTTTTGATTGTTACGTTACAGCTCACCTGACTGAGCGACAACCCCTTTATATCTCCATTCTGTAGGATGATTGATTCAGTGTAAAATCTACAAGCAGTTAATATGTTTGCATTACCAATGTTAAGACTAATAACGACTAATAATTTTGTTATCTTACATTAAGGTGCGTTCAGTTAAGTGACATTTATATTGTTGATAACACGTAAGAATTACGATTTCAAATTTTAAACTTAAGTACATGGATTGCCAGGATTTAAATTTATTCCAAATACACGACAGTGACTTTTTAACTACACACAGTACGGTACGAGATGCAAGGTCAGTCACAGCCACAACACGTGGCCCGGGGGACGACTACTGCTGGCTCGTGGTTTATTTACACTCATGGTAGACGTAATTGTTGTATTACCTGCGAGGTACCAATCACCACGTCTACTGAAGTGTCTCCCCTCTCAACCGTTCGCTCGGATTACTTAACTTTTACAGTTCGGTCGGATCTATTACAGTTTAAAAGCAACGTAATCAATTCTGCGTCGGTGGAAAAAAACTTAGTTCAGCTTATAACCTTAGCTTTTAACAGCTACACCATTACTCGTAGTTATATGTTGATAAACAAATTAATCATCCCCATTTATATTCATACATAAACTAACCGGTACTCAGAAACATTGTCTCAAAATTGGTTCAGAAGTTCAATTTCGAATGACGTTGTAGGACAATTTATTCGGCAAACATATGTGCACCAATGTGTGACTGTGAGTGTGTGAGATAATTCAATCCTAGGCCGTCACTTCTCCTATCGCTGCTCCATCACAAATCCAATTCCTCGTTTAACAATAGCAAGGAACAGGGATCCATTATTTACACCCTCCCAGCTTATTGTGGACGGGCCTCGGGCCAAATTTCATTCTTGATTAGATAAAAATAGGCTTTCGCGGCGATAGGGTGCCGCCGGCCAGCAAGGCTGACTGGAAATGCAAACACCGACTTGTGTAGTAGTGCAGTGTATTGCTGGTGGCTATTAAAACTATCTTTAAAACATGAGCAAAAAAAATAAACCTCATTTACGAAAGCTAATACTTTTTGGACCGCTATCAGTGTGAGTAAACATTAATTTGTATGACTTCACCCAACTATAAAGGACGGATTATTAGGTGTTTTTATGTCATAATATGTTATTCTTAAGCAAATTTTATAAAGTTTCCTTTGTTCAGAATTAAGTAAATGCATAATCTATGTAAACCACATTTAACTATCAACTGTTTGTACTAAACTAAATTAATCCTAACAAAACAAAATTTAAAAAAATCTACAAAAATATCTTGCAAAATTTGCTTAGATATTGATAGTGAGGCACTTTAGTGTAGTATGTGTGACTCGGTGCGAGGTTTGTTTAGATATTGTATAGTGAGGCACTGTAGTGTGTGAGACTCGGTGAGAGGTTAATTTAGATATTGTATACTGAGGCACTGTAGTGTGTGTGACTCGGTGCGAGGTTCGTTTAGATACTTTATACTTTATACTATTCTTTGAAATGGCGACCGATATTTTATACTGAGGCACTGTAGTGTGTGTGACTCGGTGTGAGGTTTGTTTATATATTGTATACCGAGGCATTGTAGTGTGTGTGACTCGGTGCGAGGTTTGTTTAGATATTGAATAGTGAGACACTGTAGTGTGTGTGACTCAGTGCGAGGTTTGTTTACATATTATTGTATAGTAGTGTTGTAGAGGTTTGGTTAGATATTGTATAGTGAGGCACTGTAGTGTATGTTACTCGGTGCGAGGTTTGTTTAGATATTGTATAGTGAGGCACTGTAGTGTGTGTGACTCGGTGCGAGGTTTGTTTTGATATTGTATACTGAGGCACTGTATTGTGTGCGACTCGGTGTGAGGTTTGTTTAGATATTGTATACCGAGGAGCTGTTGTGTGTGTGACTCGGTGCGAGGTTTGTTTAGATATTGTATAGTGAGACACTGTAGTGTGTGTGACTAGGTGAGAGGTTAATTTATATATTGTATACTGAGGCACTGTAGTGTGTGTGACTCAGTGAGAGGTTAATTTTGATATTATATAGTGAGGCACTGTAGTTTACAATACAAGATTTAGATATTGTAGGCACTGTAGTGTGTGTGACTCGGTGAGAGGTTAATTTAGATATTGTATACTGAGGCACTGTAGTGTGTGTGACTCAGTGAAAGGTTAATTTTGATATTATATAGTGAGGCACTGTAGTGTGTGTGACTCGGTGCGAGGTTTGTTTAGATATTGTATACTGAGACACTGTAGTGTGTGCGACTGGGTGTGAGGTTTGTTTAGATATTGTATACCGAGGCGCTGTAGTGTGTGTGACTCGGTGCGAGGTTTGTTTAGATATTGTATACTGAGGCACTGTAGTACGTGTCACTAGGTGCGAGGTTTGTTTTGATATTGTATAATGAGGCACTGTAGTGTGTGTGACTCGGTGCGTGGTTTGTTTAGATATTGTATAGTGAGGCACTGTAGTGTGTGACTCGGTGCGAGGTTTGTTTACTTGTTGGAGAGAGTTATCGCCGCGGAGAAGGCCGGATCTCAGTTAATCTTCTGCAGGGCTTCCAATTACAAGGCGGAGAAGACCAAAGGCTGGTACAATTAATTGGAGGGCTTCCGCGATCTTATCTGAAAATATTCACTACACTGTAGTGGGCTCATCCTGCGTTATCTGTGGCTATTAATCGCTAAAAAATAACAACGTCTAATAATACGATTTAACTGTAACTTGACAAAAAAAAAAACAATTTTAAGTTACTTTTAATTAATTCCCTACACAATTTTTGACTGCGTTTTTTTAAATCTATTTAATGTTTATCAATAATTGTTTTATTTTTAATATAATTCTGATATTTCTCAAAATCTTAAATATAACATGGGTTTGTTAAGTACATAGGGAAATAGCTCTTACATACGTTACAAATGAGAATAGCAAATAAATAAATCAAATTAATTAATTTAAATTATTACAAAATCTTGTGTTTCTGAGGTCCGTGGAGGTAAAACACAACGATTACCGTTGTGGCCTCCGCACGCGTTGGCAAACATTGCGTTGACAAGGCCGGACCTCGGATTAATAATGCAGGCAAGAAGAAGGAGCGACGACGTCTGATATTGTGTTTATTTTCGGGGTTCTTGTGTGCCTTGCCTAATGTGTGCACCCGCCCGTGTAATGAATGTTAAATATTAGACTCATGTGTTCTGTTGTGTTCTGATGGAACTCCCCCTCCCGCCCTCTTGGTTAAATACTCATACGCTCTCGTTATCACTTCGTCTTTAACCCATCTCGATTTGTTTTTAAACCTCTTCTTTCTCCCTATGTGCTTTCTGCCTCGGCGTCTCGGGTATAGTTCATTATGAGGATAATTAGTATGCTCTACTATGTTGACTCACGAACTTGGCTGGTGAATAATGATGGTTATTTGCGATATATATATATATATATATATATATATTTAAAAAAAATGTTCTTAAATTAAAATTTTACTATGTAAATCTAAAGAGATTTTATTTTTTGTATAAAATAATGTTTGGGTTGCTAAATTGAATTAATTACTTTTACAGTTAAAGTAATCAGTTACAGTTGCCGTACAAACATGCAAACTGTTAACTTACAAAGACTACAAACTAAACCCAAAATATTTTTTTACTATTCTGACAATTATGAAAATCTTTCTACGACACACAATCCAAATTTAGTGAATTTTCTCATGTTTTGCATCTTATTTCACTATAATTGTCACGTCACTGATTCCTCCACCAGAGAGTTAACAATCACAGAGCAGTACGGTGTGGAGTTATTTTCAGATGGCACGGTGTTCATTTTATTGTACCACGCCACGTAGATAAAACTCACACTTTACGATGCCACTAATTTCACTTCCACTAACTTTACACTTAGGTTTATTCCCGATAAACTGAGTCTCACAACTGGATAAACACGGTACTCGAGTATCAACTCTTCCGTCAAACGTCCCCGGCGGACTTTATGTTACTTACTGCCGGAGCTGCACGCGTCCTACCGTATCGTCACTAGTTGTGCTATGGTACGTAATGTGACCTTTGTTTGGTTATGAATCCTTAGACATTTTATTTAAT